AGGTTTAGGGTCTTCACCCTACTTATAGATACACCGGATGAATGTTCAGGAAGACTACTGATTGCAAGGGTGGAGACAAGGGCAACATTGCAGATTACTCCAGAACACTGCTCCACAGGATGGCTTTTGATGCTCGTCCCTTCAAACATGTTTGACTTCATATGGTCGAGAGATCGAGGAGTGTGGGAGAGAGGCCCTCAAGGGCTGTGGATTTGCTCCCTATATCATGTATATGATTGAGCAGGTGACAAGGCACACATTCGAGTTTGACAAGACTCACAAGGCCCTAAAGATTGTTGCAGATCTGCTGAGACAGGGGTTACCTCCCAGCAGACCCGGGAGGAGGAGCAAAGAAGAAGACTGTGAGGCAGATGCACCTAGGAGTGGTGCACCGGCAGGAGCTTCACCTTCACCACGTGCTCCTTCATGTTCTACTTCACGCCGTGGCAGATCCTCCCTCGCCTATCCAGTAGGCTTTTGACTCCATATTTAGGATGTGCAGAGACATCCATCAGCAAAGAGAAGGAGAGGGAGGCTAGGAGGAAGGACACACTCGGACTTTAAAGCAAATTGCTTCTAATCTTGAGCTTGATCCTCCTAGATCTCCTCTATCGAGATGAGGGCTAGTGAGCCCGAGACCGAGGAGGAGCAAAGAGGGCGAGATATGATAGAGAGTATGTTGAGTTCATTCAATGACAATAGTAGCAAAGAGGCACCGAGCACCCCCGACACTCTTCCACTTTAGGCTCGTGTGCCTACTCACTCTCACCACGTCCTAGTACTGCAGATTTAGTATGCTCTGATTGGTGGAGTGACCTCACAGGTGGTGGCGGCTACTATGGGTCTAGTGGCTATGACCCGTCCGGCGCAGGTGGTTCTCGTCCAGCTGGTGTTACACGTTCAGATGACGAAGATGCTAGGAAAGATGATGATGTTGATGCTGAGTGATGCTAGAGATTAGATACAGCTTGCAGCCCCTTTTGTCCTTAGTTTGTCATTGTTGGACCTTTGTGGTGATAGATGACAAAGGGGGAGAGAGACTGATTAAAGCTTCGGGATTTTTGTTTCATTTGCTTATCTTTGTACCTGAAGATATGTACTGCAGGCTGTAGTTTTTGTTTATGAGCTTCATTGATGTATCTTGAGTTTGAGATTGCATTGTATCATGTGAGAGATGAGACTCACTTATGCTTTATCTATGGATCTATTGAGATATGATCTTTATTATCTGTGGCTTGTGGACTTGATAAAATATGTAATGAGTGTTATGTGTGGCATACATGTGTTGTATTTATTTTTCATAAGGTCTATGCATGATAGAATGAAAATATTTGATGTGATGTCTTTATATTTATTCTTGTGTGATATATCCTGTCATATGCATCACAATTCTATTTTGTCACACACACATGCACCCCACGGATGCAATAATTTAGGGGGAGTCTCCTATATGTTTTAGTATGTGCAATTGACAAGTTGAGGTCATTTTGTGAATTCCAATCACAAGCACATATTAAGGGGGAGCCTCTTATAAATCATTGAACCCAAAAGCTTAAATGTTTATATTCTTTTGTAAGCCTTAATCAAGTTGTCATCAATCACCAAAAAGGGGGAGATTGAAAGTGCATCTAGCCCTTTAGTGGGTTTTGGATGATTGAATGACAACGTGATTAACGGTCTAACCCGTTTGCTAAGTGTGGACAGGTTATAGGTTATCTCATGAGTACTTAATGAAAGCCAAAATGACGTGTTGTTGTATAAACAATCTAGTTCAAGCACAAGACAACAATGCAAATGTTATTCATGCAAAGGCTCATTTATTGTGGGATTTTCATTTGCTATGTGAAAGCAAGCTCGTGAGAATTAATTAATGAGACATGAGAAATTGCATATGGAATGGTCTCATACTTGAAGCTTGCTAAATTGAAATGAAAAAGATAACAATACAAATGAATGGATGATTCAACACAAGAAGTGACTTGATGGCTTGAGATGGTGAAGATAGCAAGGAAAGGCTTCGAGGTACTAAGCAAGGGTAAAGGGCAAGCGACGGCTTGGCGGCCGAAGAACCCAGCTAGGGTGAAGAAGAAAGTACTTGCATTTAGTTGAGGTACTAATCAAGCTATGATGGCCATGTTCATGTGGAGGATCAAATCACTATTGGATTGGTTGATGGAAGTGACTTGATACATTTGGGATTATTCAAATTTGATGAATGGAATCAAGTCACGTGCTCAAGATGGCTATGCTCAAGTGAAAAGATCAATATCAACATGTTAGCACCCTTACTTGATGAAGATTGAAAGAGACGGCATCAATTCAAAAGAGATCAACTCAAGTGGTATAAATCCTTTTTTTCGTTTGATCTTGAGTTTAATAGGTATGCCGTACTATTAAGAGGGATGCATCATGTCGATAGATAATGTTTCATAAGTGCTCAAGCCAACCCATGTGAGATTTGAGTGTTTGAGAGTCAAAAAGGCTAACTGACTTGTTGCTGGTCTGGCACATACCGGACGTGTCCGGTATGCATACCGAACGTGTCCGGTATTTGCCCAGTATCTGTAAAAATGTTGTTCTCGGGTTGGTTCATCGGGAGTTCCGACGGTCGGGAGTTCCGGCAAGGGTTGGGAGTTCCGACGTCTCACACTTTAACTGTCTTGGAGGGTTCACTGTCCTGGTCATACCGGACGTGTCCGGTATGGACGACCAGAGGCCAACGGCTAGTTTTCCAAAGCCTTGAGGGTCGGTAGTTCCGACGTGAGTCGGGAGTTCCGACGGTCGGAAGTCCCGGCATGTGTCGGGAGTTCCGACACCTCATATTCTTTAACTTAGTTACATGGTTTTCAAATTTGCTGAGGGTCGGGGTTTCCGACGTTAGTCGGAAGTTCCGACTGTCGGGAGTTCCGGCATTCATCGGGAGTCCCGACGCCTCACAACTTCACTATAACTTAGTTACCATTGGGCAGTGTAAGTCATACCGGACGTATCCGGTATTGCAACGGCTATAAAACGGCTAGTTTTTCAAGGGGGCTATAAATACCCCCAAGCCTCCACCTTTGGAGGCTGCTGATTCTGCTGAGATAGACACACGTTTTTGAGCCTTACCAACTCTCCTAAACCCTCTCTTAGTGAGTGTGTGATCCAAATTGCAAAATCAATTTGTGTGTTAAGAGAGAATTTGAAAAAGAGAGCAAGCCACCACATGAGCACTTGTGCATATTGTCAATCTCGTGATTCGCATTTGTTACTCTTGGACTCTTCGGTCCTAGACGGTTAGGCGTCGCCGGAGAGCACCCGAGAGATTGTGGTGTGCCTCGGAAAGTTTGTAACGGTCGATTTCGCCGCCTCGGAATCATTTAGTGGAAGGAGGAAAAGGAGTTGGAAAAGACTCCGGCTAGAGTGACCTTCGTGGTACCCTCTAGGGCTGACCTTCGCTGGGTCGCCCGCAGCCCCCTCAACGGAGAGTAGGACTCGAATGAGTCCGAACTTCGGTAAAACAAATATCATGTCTCAATTCGCATTTCATTTTATATTTATGTTGCTCTAGCTATTCTACAGGTTTTCTATGTATATTGTCATCTCCATTAGGTGCCTGCAGTTTGGTTTGAAGATAGAAATCAAAAGGAGCAAGTTCAGGGCCGATCTGCAGAAATCGTGTATACCGGACACGTCCGGTATTTCCTGCCTGCACTGAAAATATTTATTCTCTGTTCTAACTTGGTGTTGTAGGGTTGTAGCTTCTAGATATATTCTTTATACCTTGTTTACTCTGTGGATAACTTGTGAGGGGTGGTAGTACTCTTAATTTGGAGTTTCCATTTGGAAACTCCACTTTCTAATTGTTTCCGCATTTAAAGGTGTTAATTTTCAGAAATGCCTATTCACCCCCCCTCTAGGCGACATCCTAGGTCCTTTCACCCCTGCATCGTCAGTAAGGGATGGTAAAAAGGGTGATTTGACCGTTGTCCCATCGCCCTATTGCTGTGCACCGCCGGTCGTGGCTGACGTACCGGGTGCGTTCAGGCGCTTTAAATGGATGGGACAGCCTGCCAGAGGGACGGTTGAGGCGGAGGCGGCGAGGACGCGGGACGAGCCCGGCCTTTGGTCGAGGCGGAGTTGGACCAGTGCGTCCGAGGCCCCACCGGGGGTCTCGGGCGAGGCGGAGCGTGAGCAGTTGGTCCTGTTACACCGATTTCGAGGCTACAGGGACCCGGATCTGACTCCCCATGCCGCGCTGTTCCTGAAGCAGGTATTAGGTAGCACAGCGTAGTATGGCCGCCAGTCATGGTTATAGTGCTGAGCACAGTGGCAGGTAATCCCTGCTCAGTCCTGTCTCCTGTCCCGTCGGTCACTCTGCGGTACTGTGCCGACGTGCGGCTGACGTTGCGGGAGTGGTTGGGCGCATTAACTGGACGCGACGCTTTGTCAGAGAAGTCGATCGAGACAGAGGCGACGAGTTTGTTGCCGAGCCAGCCTCGGGCGACTCAGAGAATCGGTAACCCGTCCGAGGCCTTGCGGGGCGGGGCCTCGGCGAGGCGGAGAGTCGTTGCGGCGCGGGCCTCGGGCGAGTCAGAGAATCGGCCGAGACCCTATGATCGTCCTTTGGCATTGATATAAGCGAGGCCGAATGACTCTTTTCGGTTCTTGCTTAGGGTATCCCCTTTTATGGTATCCGACAAGACCTCTCTAGGAAAGCGGAAATATAGCATTGCTTGGCACCAGAATCAACATAATTAAGCTTGTCATGTGTTAATGGGGTCAAATGGTAGCGAGGTTATGAGGATTCATATAAGGGGGCAATATGTATGCATAAATTAAATTAAGTTAGCAAAAATAAATTATCTGAAAAGGCTCAAAGGGATTTTAGTAGTTTCCTTCTCGGTCGGGGAAATGTTGGATTGTAGTTAGTTATCAATTTCCATTTTAATAGAGTAGTCAGCAAGTTGTTATGCACACTAACTAAAATGCCTCTTTGTACAAAGACTATAAGGGCTCGTTTAGTGCGTCTCCCGCACCGACTCCTCCGCGAGCTCCGGCACGGAGCCACGGAGCCGCACCAAACACCACGCGGGCGAGGAGCGCTTCTGGCTCCCAACCAGAGGAGTGGGAGCCCAAAATAGTGGCTCCGCCTCGGGGGCTCCAGCTCTGACACCGGAACCGTGCTGGAGAAACCCTCCCAAATGGGCACTAAGAGCGAGGTAAACATTTAAATTAAATCAGGTTGGCAAAAAGAAATTATATGTAGATAAATTGATAAAAACGTCATAAGGATTTTATCAGTTTCCTTAACGTCTGAAAAGCACCTAGTTATGATTTGTTAACGATTCTATTCACGCACATAACCCATACATTACATGAATATTCAACAAGAAGTTTGGGTAAGGGAGATCTTTTGTCGCCTCTCGATAGGATCACGTATCACGTATGCGCACCAACTAAAAATGACCCTTTATAAAGAGAGTAGACATGGAAGTCATTAGATTGACAATCGAAAACTATAGGTTACTAAATAAGCTGAAAAAATCCAGCTGAAAGTTTTATTATCAAGTTTCCTTTGGAGGAGAAGCCGCACACTGTTGCTAGTCCTATTTTGTCCAAGCACACCAAATCCATACGTTAGGAAAGTGAAGCCAGCAAATAGTCATGACTCATGAGTGCTCACTGGCCGTTGGGCCACAGTTGTGTGGCCCCACTCGACAGGGAAAAGACACATCCTCTCCTAGTGAGCTTGTCGCATCGCGTGTCGTCTGGCCGTTGAGGAGCAGCCACGTACATGGCCCCACACGTCAGTCACACTCACCAGGCCATAGCACTCGATCTCACTCAGCTCAGCTCAGCTCACCTGTCACTCAGTCAGAGAGAGAAGCTTCACTTGCAAAAAAGTCCCCGGGAAGAATCCAAACGTTAGGAAAGGGACATGTGTGGAAAAGCCAAAAAGTAGCGAACGGCAGCCTCCGAGCGGACCAGCCGCCCAGGGGCAAATCGGTAACTCCACCTCCCGTGCCAACTGTGAGCCCGTGTCCTCTCCTCTCCCCCTAGCATTGCCGGTGGGGAAAATTCGTTTTGCAGTTAAGCCCCTGGGAGAAGGTGATATTACCATTACCGCCGCCGTCGTCGTCCCGAACCTACCTTCTCTCCTGCGGCAGTCTCTCTCCCTTCTTCAATCCCCAACCAAACCCCTCCTCCTCCGCTCTCACTCTCGCCCGCGTCGCAATCATACTCGTGGGGGCGTGGGGCGCGCGCTTTAATCCCTCCCAGGATTTCTGTGGCGTCCGCTTCCTCCACCCGGATTCCGCCAGGATTGAGTAATCGCATCGCATCCTCTTCATCTCCTCCCAATTCCTCTGTCCGTTCCATCTGGGTCGCGTTGCTTCTTTCTTCCCGATTTGCCGCCGCCGCCGTTTCCGCTGCCGCCATCCACTTCTTGTAGGAGTAGGACTCCGCCCTGTCCGTCCGCCCGTCCTGTACACCTGTCCTCCTCGCTTGCGTCCACGCCATTGCCGCGCTCTCTGCTAAAGCCGGCTGCTTTCTTGGGCCAGCCGGTCCGGGGCGTCGTCCCTGCCGGGCGTAAATGCGCGTCCGTGCAGAGGATCCCAGCCTCCGCCGCTCCAAATCCCGTCCTTGTTTGCCCCCAATTAAGAGCGGGAGAAGACGAATCTTCTGCGCGTGCTAATCCTAATAGTCGCCAGAGATGACGAAGTCGTCCTGACCAACTTCACTTCGCGCCGGCGGCTGCTCAGCTCTGACCCCAGAGCCCCCCACTGCTATGGGCTTCTCGATCCTCGCATGCCTCCTCCGGCTTCTGCTGGTGCTCATCGCCGCCGCCGCCGCCACCTCCCCGGCGGCGGCGCAGTCGCGGCCGCCGTCGCCGGCCAGGATCCTCGACGCGGCGCTGCAGGACTACGCGTACCGGGCCTTCGCGCGCCCGCGCACCGGCATTGTCTACAACGCCACGCTCCCGGGCAACCTCACGGGCATTGCCGTCTCCGCGGTGCGCCTGCGCAGCGGCAGCCTCCGCCGGAAGGGCTTCGCGGGCTACTTCCAGTTCGGCGTGCCCACGGGCGTCGTTGTCCAGCCGTACGTCGAGCGGGTGGTGCTCGTGTACCACGACCTCGGCAACTGGTCCGACTACTACTACCCGCTCACCGGGTACACATACCTCGCCCCGGTGCTCGGCCTGCTGGTCTATGACGCCGCCAACCTGTCCGCTGTGGGGCTGCAGGAGCTCAACGTCGTTGCTTCGGGCGGTCCGATCTCGGTGAACTTCGGCGGCAATGTCAGGACGGTGCCGGCAGGCAGCGCGGCGCCAAGGTGCGTGGTGTTCGATTTGGATGGCATGCCGCAGTTCCGGGACCTGGAGGCAACCGATGTGTGCTCGACGTATCGCCAAGGGCATGTGTCGATAGTGGTGAACTCCAGTGAGATTGCTCCTTCTCCACCTCCACCTGGCGCGATTGCCCCGTCGATTCCGACCCCGGAGGAAATAAGAAGAAGGAAGCTCAAAGGCGTGGAAAATTGCCGGCAGTGTGGTTGGGGCTGCCATAGCATTGGGGCTCCTGGCTGCGCTTCTGCTGTGTTTGGTGAGGTATAAAAGGGATAAGAAGCTTCAGGTGATGGAACGGAATGCGGAGGTTGGAGAGACATTGCGGATGGCGCAGGTTGGGCGGACGCAAGCACCGGTGGCATTGGGGACACGGACACAGCCGGTGATTGAGAATGATTACACTGCATAGTGGAGTTTTGGGTCTTCTGCGTAGTTCTACTAACATGAAGACTTGATGGTGATGGCTGGAGACGGATTGTCCATTGGTTGCTCAACGCAGACAATTTTCCATATCAGCAGAGGGCAACGCCAGCCGCTAATTTCAGGGCCAAGGTTCTGCTCCATGAGGGTTCAGCACATTATTTGGGTGGGTTTGTTCGGAAGCTTAAGTTTTGTACTGCAAGCAATGGCTATTGTTCATGTTCATAGTTGCCATGTTCATATGTGAGGAGTTCCTTTCATCTCCAAGCAAGCAGGCAGTGGAGGGGAAATCTATGTCGTATGACTTGGAATCCTCAGTTATTCTTTTGGGGTATCTGTACTCAATAGAAAATGGGCTTGGCAATAAAGCTGAGGTAACATTCATTGCACATTGTGTCCTCACAGCATGAGTCAGGCGGATTCATGCTGTGTTGGAGAGATTCATTCATCCAGCTTCGATTCGATTTCATTTCATTTCTTTTTCTTCTCTGTTTCATGTTTAGACAGCTGCTGAGATGATGTAGTGCTGCACATGTTTACTTATTTGGTGTTGTGGTAATTAGTTTGATTGTGATCATCTAGATTTCTGTCCATTTATTTTACATCCGCTGTGATTGTTGTCTGGGAAACAACTTATAAGTTCTAAGTGTACATCTTTTATGACCTGACAGCAATATCAATTGTAGATCTTGTTAATGCCAAGCTTTGTCAAATTGCAATTTTCACTGATTGAAATGAAAAGAACAAGAAGTTAATGTCGACCATACCAGTCGGCAAAATAAATTTGAATTAACAGAGGGATTCATGACGGATATTCAAGAAGGTCTGGTTAATGTAATGGTTAGAAAAATTTGGAAGTTTTTTATTTTTTTTTGGAAAGGTCAGCAGGGAAGCTCCCTACCTTTTTTTTTTTTGTATTTTCATTATATGAAGAAGGGTACAATATGTACAGGTTACAAGGCTCTCAGAGCCAAAAAGCAGAAAAAGGAAATACTTTATGTGAAATTCTCACACTAACTAGTAAGGGCATCCCTGATTTTCTGCTTGGCTTTGATGCAAACCAACCCAATCTCTTCCCTGAAGGCAGATTTCCAATTCTGAAGTTTTTTCTCTGCTAGTGTTCTGGCATTGTCAATTGCCTAGTTATGAATATTGTAGGCTTCATATATACTGTAGCTGTGTTAGTGTGGACCTAGATGTTCAATGAAGAAAAGATGCAAGTATGAGCTGTGTGCAGAATAAATGAGCTGAACAGAAGGATTCAAGAATGCTCCGTTAGAAAAGTTCCAAAGCTTATCTTTTTCTCTGGTAGGGTTCTGGCCTGGGTGGCAATCCTCAAGTTGGTTAGAAATATTATAAGTTTTATTAGGTACAAGGGTTGTCAGTGGGGGACCTAGACGGTCAACGAAGAAAAGATGCATGCATGTGTACATTGAGTTCGTTTTGAACTCGTTACAGGTTTTCTGTGTTTATTATTGTTCATGGGCCTTGCCGATATTTTGAATCATGGAAGAGGAGCCTTACCTATGGAGTTCCATTCTGTTTCCTTTGCTTGTACCTGGTAATTTAACATGCATGATCTGTTGGAACTTGGAAGTGTAGACTGTTGGAACTTGGAAGTGTGTACAATGAGAGGGCATGAACAATCTGTGATGTCAGTACAAGAGCTCTCCAATCAAAAAAAAAAGGGGCGTACCCAGTGCAGAGAGCTCTCGCTCTGTGCAGGGTCTGGAGAAGGGTGTCAGTGGCAAACCTTACCCTTGCCTATGCAATGCGAGGAGACCGCGATTCGAACCCGGGACCTTCCGGTCACAGGCAGTAAGACTCTACCGCTTGCACCAGGCCCGCCCTTCTGCTCTCCAATCAAAAAAAAAAAAAGAGATTGTGTGAGCAGATAGCATGAACAATCTGTGACACCAATATGAGATCTGGGCAAACAGAAACAAAACTGCATATGAGAGAGCATGAAGAATGTGTGATGAATATCAATATGAGGAAGGAGAGGTGGCCAGAGCTCCAGCTAGGCCACCCACTTTTTTTGGGGTTTCATTTCATGCTGGGAATCATGGGATCATGAGTGAGCTGAACTGACTCACACATGATGTGCACTTGTAGTTTAGGAATCAGTGCTGGGAATGTGGTTGGCACTTGGAATTAGGTACCCTTGTTATGATGTGTCCCAAAGCCCGGTTCCTTTGTTCAAGGTGACGTGGTGCAGTGCAGTGCTGAAATGTGAAGCAACCCAAGTACTACTTTTTTTTTTTTTTTTTGATAAGGGGAGTACTACTAAATTTTAGTAGCACTGCGTTCACAAGCATGTGTATGCATCTAGTGGGCCCGAGTCAGCTAGACCTGCGCACACGTGAGTGGTATCTGCTGCATGATCCTACAAGGTGCTGGCCAGGTGAGGCCAAGTATGCAGCCAGAATGGTTTGTACTTTGTATTATACATTTGCTAGCTGTACTGTGCATCTGCATATAGACAGTAGTCTCTGATCTCATCTCTGGAGCCTGTTCTTGTGCTTCTTGATCTTACCACAGGGACATGGGAGTGTTGCCATTGGCCCCGTTCGGCTTGTTGAAACTTGGCTGAAAAACACCGTTCTGGCTGAATTGTTGTAAGAGAAAAATACTGTTCTAGCTGAAAAAAGAAGCCGAACAAGCCGGTTTCTGGTAAGGCGGTTTCTGTGAGAGAAAAACACCTTGTATCTTTCTTCACAGGTTGTTCTGTTCCATGATGAACAAGGGAGAAGGAAGGTTTTGTGTATGACTGTATGTGGTTTTGTGTGTTTGTCAGGAAGAAGGCAAAACAGAAGACAGCTTTGTGATTACGGAGGATGTTTTGCTGCTGGCGCCTTAGGCATTTGTATTGGAATCTTTGCTGCGAACACGCACCCAACTCACAGTCACAGCTCATGTGCGCTGGCTGGCTGGCCTGGCCCTGGCCATATAATCAGTTTGTTTTGTAATATGCCAAGGGTGCAGCTTGCTGCTGCTGTATAATTTACTCCTACTACTGATGCTCTTGTTGGTTAAGTGTTGGACTACTGATGCCATGGGCTAATTAATGCCTGTAGTTTGTTTTCAGCTGATGACTTATTACTGTGTGCAAGTGAGCAGTGACAGTGTGGCGGGTAAACTTGAACCTGCTGCGTGCGTACCATGCGTAGCTGTAATCAGAGGAGCAGGCATGGTCTGCTTGACTGCTTCTCCTGCTGCTTGTAGTGCACGGAGTAGGAGTAGACTGTACACTAACTGGAGTACGACAGACAGTGTTTTTCGGTGAAATAATTACAAAAGGCGAACGCAGCCCTCTCATCTCATGTTTTGATTGGCGAGTGGGGTCATGGGAAATGTTGTGGTAGGCCTGGTAGTCTCCCGTTCTTCCATCTCATGGTGTGTTGGTGTTCAAACAAATTTGATGGTGTTGTAAAAAAATGTTGATATATGTTTTTTAAAAAAAGTATTGATCGATAGTAGAAAATTTTGACTCGGAACAAAATTACAACTGCTGAAGTTTTTGAACAGAGTAACAAGAGAGGACACTGGTCAGGTCAGGTGGTCCGTGAGGGCACAGCAGATGGCAGGTGCCCAGTGTTAAATGGAGGGGGGGCCTGGGGTTAGTTGCTAATGAACTACAGTAGTTAATCCCTGGATTTTGGAACAGATAAATTACAGGCAGGTAAAAGGACTAGTACGGAGTATTCAGTGTCCGTTTGATTTTGAACGCACAGTTGACTCGTTTGACCTCACC